GGAGTCTGGCTTGGGCCACATTCGTGACAGTGTCAGACACGAATGGAAAGCAATTGGAGAAGTGCTTGACGCGCCCCGTGCCCCAACCAGCTCATCTAGAAACGATGCCCACGCGAGCTGGTGCGATCAGGCAAGTGCGGGAGCAAGAAGGGGCAGTCGTTATCATTCGAAGCGGGAAGGTGATTGAGGAGGGAGAAAGGAGAGGGAAGGGGAAAAGGCGCGCAAAGAGGAGGTTGGCGAACAGAAAAGCCAGTGGTTTACTGGATGCATGGAGGTTCTTGGGGCATCTCTTGAGGGCTTTTGGGGGGCCTACTCAGGCATCTTGGCGACTTCTCCGCGGTTCAGGTGACATTTTGAGCCGCTTGGCAGCTCGGGGGGGCCCTTTCGGGCCCCTTCGTTGCCTCTTGGTAGCTTCATTGGTGCGTTTTCGGCGCCTCTTGAGGTTTTTTTTCTCGCAATGTTTCTGGGGGCCGCGTTGGCCCTCTTGGGGCGATCATGTGCGACGCTGAGTGAAGAGGGGGAGCTGCAACCAGGGCTGCCCGTCGAGAGCCTACGCATCGCCTTCTAGGGGCGCTCTTGCGCCTGGTTTGGGGCCACCTGAGCCCCTCTTCGGTTCCACCTGGGTGCTCTTCAGGCTATCTTGAGGCTTCGACGACCGTTGGCAAGGGGGAGATGGTTACGCCAAAAGTGAGCGTGGCGGCTAGCGGGCGGGCAGGGGTCAAGCTATCCATTCCGCCTGCTGGCCGCCCCCCTCACTCCCGCCCGCCATCCTGTCTCAGAAGGTCAGCACAGTAGCATGTCTACGAACCGTTCCAGACGACGATGATGACGAGGATGCTCATGATGATGATGCGTATGATGGTGATGGTGATGATGCTGATGATGCTGGCGATGATGGCGATCATGAGCAGGGCGATGAGGATGGATGAAGTGGGGAGATGATGATGCGGACTTCGCGGATGATGGTGATGATGATGATGATGATGTCGGTGGCGGTGGTGATAACGGTGATGATGATCACGATGATGATCATGATGATGAGGAGGTGGATGGGGGAGGAGTCACAAGATGATGGGTCAGAGATGATCGATCAGTATGATGAGTAGGTTGCGGCAGTGAACAGACGGAGTAAAGGGCTCTCGATTCCTCTCTGGGGGTCTCTGTGGCCACTTGGACTCATACTGGCAGCCATCTTCAGTCGCCAGGCGCCGTCCAGAAGTCGAAAAGGTGCCACGCTGTTGTCGCCGGTGCCGAACTTTGCGTGGCAGTTTCGAGCTCCCATGAGAGCCCGGTGCCGTCGCCGCGCGCCCCAGTGCCCATGAAAGACGGGTTTCGCAGTGGGTAAGCGGCGGCGACATGTGGTGGCTTTGATTCGGCCCAGACCGCCACCGTGCTCTCTTCGGGTCTTTGCGGTCTTTGAGAGTCTGCAGGGCTGCTCAAAAAGATGGCTCTGGCGCGGAGTAGTCCTTGGTCTCGCTCCAAGGGCTCCAGCTCGGCTTAAGCCAAAAGGTCTCACGGGGGCCCCAAGAAGGGTTCCAGAGGACTGCGCTTGGCCCCCAAAAGCGGCCCAGGAGGTCCAAGAGATTCCCAGGAGAGGGGGGCCCAATTTAATCCAGCTGCCTGCGGCAAGTCCCGCCGCCGTGGCAGTCCACCAGGCTCGGTGGCGATTGTTCGAGAGGGTACCGGAAGCATCTTGGATGTTCGCTGGGATATCGTGGGAGGCCTCCCGGGAGCTTATTGGAGGCAGCTTTGCGGCCTCTTTGGCTGTTTGGGGGTTGTTGGGGGCCTCTCGGGGCCCCCTTGGCTTCTCGGACGCCTCTTGGGGCCTCCTGGGGGACTCTTCGGGCAGAAGGATCGAATTGTCGGTGTATGTTCCCCCTCTTGGGCCTCTCTTGGGCCTGTCTGGGGGCAATGTTGTGTGTCATGGGCGCCTCTGGGGCTCTTCTGAGGCCCTCCTGGGACGTCTAGAGACTCTCTCGGAAGCCCCTCGGGCCATCATGGGGCGCTCTTGGGGGCCCCTGGAGCTGTCTTGGAGTGTCGGCACTCGAAAAGGCGACAACGTGATTAACATTGACAAACATAATGAAAAGCAATTGTTTTTGTCTCTTGGGCCCTCTTGGGGATTTCTTGGGGGTCCTCTTAGAGCGCTCTCGGGGCTTTTTGGGGCATCGTGGGCCGTCTCGGAGGCGTCGTGGGCCATCTTGGCGGCTTTGGTAGCCTCCCAGGTCCGCGTGGGAAGCCGTCCTTGGCGTCTTGGACGCCTTGGAGAGCGGCAGGGGCGCGTCTGGGCACCGATAGAGCTTCGAAAACAGGGGGCGGCGCATGGGCTTGCGCGCGTGCCAGGAGGGCGGGGGGCCCTTAGCAAGGTTGCAGAAACCCTACCAGACAGAACTTGGCATTCTAGCACGCGTCAACGTGCCAGGGGGCGCGATTGCAGATATGGTGCACGGTGGTGCCGAAGCTGTTCAACAGCGCTTCTTCAGAATTTGAAGGCGCGGGCAGCGAGCCGAAGGAAAGCCCGCAAGTCTTCAAAAGGATCCCAAGTTCGCCCCTAGCAACCCCTCCAAAGGTCGAAGACGCACCCAGCCATAGAAGAGGCATCCACAGATGACCTGCTTCTTCCAGATCGCTATAGTTTACACCCTCCCCATCACTCTTCTTCCCACTTGTGTGACTGATGGTTTTCGGGTCATACCTCGGGCTGCAGCAGCCGCGCGCCCCGATCCAGATCCGCTTCGAACGCGCTCGGCGACGCACTCTGTTGGAAAGCATTCCGGGGCGACATCGTTCCCAGGAGCGAGCGAGAACTTCCGCAAACCTTGGTTTCGACGTCTGCCCCCTGCAATTCCGTAGGGGTGGAGTGGAGCCATGTGGCTCGCTCTTTCTACCCAGCCCTCAGGCGGTTGAGGTACTTGTTTTGAGTAGAGCATTGTGGCGTGCACCTCCTTCTCCCGCCCTCCAATCTTCTTGTCCCGTGCACGCTGGATACCGAGAGGATACGGGGGCCCACCAGAATGGCGCCGCGCAGGTTATCATAAGACTTCCCTGGCCCTGGGGGGCTGTGCTCTGCGAAATCGGCGCCACTTTTGTGGGCTCATGGGAGGCCCGACGGAGGCTCGTCTTATGCAGGCCATCAGGGCACGTCGCCGTCCTTGGGGGGCTGCGATCTGCGACACTGTCGCCGCTTTCGTGGGCCCCTGGCACGCCCGCCAGAATGATATCTGTCGGGGAGCACCATGAGGCTCGCCGTTCCTGGGGGGCTGCGACATGCGAAACCGTCGCCAATTCTGCGGGCCCGTGGGAGGTCAAGCGGAATGGTGCCTCACGCAAACAACCGTGAGATGGGGGGCGGCGTTTTGTGATGCTGTCGCCACTTTCATTGGCCCCTGGGAGTGTCGGCGGCACGGTGCCCCACGCAAATCGCCATGAAACCTCAATTTCCCTGAGAGATTGTGATTGGCGAAGCTGTCGTTCTGTTCGTGGTCTCTGGGAAGTCACGCAGATTGATGCTTTACGGGGGCCACCGTGCTACCTCGCTGCCCCTGGGGGGGTCGCGATCCGAGAAACTTTTCCATTGTCGTGGTCCCCATGGGGAGTCCAGCGGAGAGGTGGCGCACGCAGACCAGAATGAGGCGTCGCCGTCCCTGGGGTTTCTGCGAACTGCGCCATTGTCGCCGCGTTCGCGGGCTCTGGGGGGGTCAGCGGAGCGCGCCCCGCGCAGGTCCGATTGATTCCTCGCCGTCCATGGGAACTGCGATTAGCGAAACCGTCGTCATCTTCGTGGGCCCCTCAGAGCGTTCGGGCGCAAGGTGGATCTTCACATTGTTCGTTGGATTGAGCGGCCTAGGGTATAGTCGCCTCATGTGTACAAGGGGCTGTGTACGTCCCCGGGTAATTCTCCGGTCTGGGGACGCGCCCGGGGGCATCTGCCGGTTCGAGCAAGTTTTGTTCGAGCATGTCGATTTATAGCATGTCGTGTGCAGCTTCGACTGCCGAGTCACCCGCGGTGGACGCACCAGGAGGCGCCCAACGCACTGGAGGCGCCCAACGCGCTGGAGGCGCCCTACGCACTGGAGGCGTCCAACGCTCTGGAACTATCCAGCTGCCTTGCGGCGCCCACCGCCGCTTCACCAGAGGAGCGTTCGTTGTGGAAACCGTGAGAATGAGGATGATGACGAGGGGGCCGGTGATGATGATGATGACAAGCATGACGGTGAGCATGGGAATGAGCACGATGAGGTTGGTGAAGACGCTGATGATGGTGATTACGGTGGCGGTGACGATGATAGCGATGATGACGATGACGACGCGAATTTCGATTAGGGTGCGGTCGTGATGCTGAGGGCGATGGGCAGTGATGTTGTTTGCTTTGATGATGATGCTGGTGATGTGATCAGGGCGATGATGATTGCGACGCTTGTGGTGATGATGATGAAGATGATGTGATGATGATGGTGATGATGGTGATGGCGACGATGATGTTGTTGATGAATCTCCAATAACGTGCGGTCCATCCCGCTTTGGTGCCCGTGCTGTGTGTGAACTGTTTCTCTAATGCTGGTTGGGATATCGCGGGGAGCCTCTGGGGCTCTTCTTCGAAGCAGTTTTCAAACATCTTCGGGGCTCTTTGGGACCCCTTTCGCTGAGGAGGTCTCTTTTCGAGTTTCTTGAGAGTTTTTGGGGCCTCTTTAAACCGTGTGGAGGCTTCGTGGTGACCTCTTAGAGTCATTTCGGGTCTGTCGGGGGCCTTGGCGGCAGTTTCGGGCGGAAGGGTCCGATTGTTGGTTCGTGTTTCCCCTGTGGGGCTTGTCTTGAGGCCATCACTGGGCTTTTGTGGGCCGTCTGGTCTCTGGTCTCTGGTCTGCGGGGGGCTGGGGTCGAATTATCCCGAGGCCTTCTTGGGCCAGCGATGGTGGTCGATAGGATGTTGCAACGTTCAACAACTCGCATTCCTTTGGATTGGACGACATCGCACGTCGTGCATATGGGCACGGTGGCGGATGCCGCACTGTCCTGATCTGGAGCGACGGCTCTGCCGTGGCGTGCGGCACTCGGTCGCGGACCTCACCTATGCGCAGGTTGCTGCTGGATTTACCCACGCCGTTCTGCTCAGGAGCGACGGCTCCGCCGTGGCACGCGGCGACAATGCGACGCGTCAGTGCGACCTCCCTGCGCTGCATGCAGACCTCACCTACGCGCAGGTTGCCGCTGGATCATGCCACAGCGTTTTGCTCAGGAGCGACGGTTCCGCCGTGACCTGTGGCCTGAATGATACTTGTCAGTGCGACCTCCCAGGGTTGCCCGGGGACGTTACGTGCGCGCGTTTTTTTTTTTTTTTTTTTTTTTTTTTTTTTTTTTTTTTTTTTTTTTTTTTTTTTTTTTTTTTTTTTTTTTTTTTTTTTTTTTTTTTTTTTCTTCTTCTTCTTCTCCTTCTTCTTTTTCTTCTTCTTCTTTTGTTGTCTTTGCGTTTTATTTTTTTTTTCTCTCCTCTTCCTCTCTTTCTCACGCCGTGCTGCTCAGGAGCGACGGCTTCGCCGTGGCCTGTGGCAACAATGATTTCGGTCAGTGCGATTTGCCCGTGCTGGTCTCGGGCCTCACTTGCATGCGGGTTGCCGCCGGATCCTACCACGCCATCCTGCTCAGGGGCGACGGCGCCGCCGTGGCATGCGGCCGCAATGAAGACGGCCTATGCGACCCCCCGGCGTTGATCGCGGACCTCCTCTACACACAGATTGCCGCTGGCTTATCGAGCTGCCTGCGGCAGACCGCGCCACCAGGCAAGCGCAGCAGCGCAGCAGGAAGGAACCTCACTTTCAGGAGCGGGGAGAAGGAAGATAAATTAGAGGACGCGGTGGAAGAGTGAGAGAAGGAGTAGGAGGAGGAAGGAAAAGCAGGAGGTGGAGGAGGAGGCGGAGCAAAAGGACCAGAGGTGTCATGGATGCCTCTCGGAGCCTCTTGGGATATAGCTGGGGCGCTTCTTGGAGGCCTCTCCGGTCGTCTTGGGGGTCTCTGGGCGGTCCTGGGGGGCTCTTGGGCGTCTTGGTGCTCGGGGGGGCCTCTAGGGGCCGCTTCGGCCTCTCGGAGGCTTCTGGGAGCTTCTTAGAGGCTTCATAGGGCCATCTTCGGGGGTTCTTTTGGGGCCTCCTGGGGTCTCCCGGGCGCCAGTGGGGCCCATCTTGGAGGAAACTGATTAAAAGAAGAGGGAGTTTAAAGGGGCCCTGCCCTTCTGTGGCCTCCGTGATCTTCTCATGGACTCCTCCGGGGCCACTCTTGGGGCGCTCCTGGGCGTTCTTGGGGCCGTCGTGGGCTTTTCTTGGGCCTGTCTTGAGGCCATCTTGAGGCCTCTTGGAGCGTGAAAGCGAGAAGGAGCAAATCATCGGTTGTGTCTAGGTGTTTGTCGGCCTCTTCGAGGCTTCCTTGGAGGTCTCGGAGGCCTCTTGGCACCGTCTTGGAGCGTTATTGGGGCCTCTTGAGCATCTTCGGAAGCATCTTGAGGCATCTTGCGCTATCTTGAGCCATCTTGGAGCTCATCTTGGGCTCCCCGAGGCACTTTTGGAGCCGTCTTGGACGAAAAGGTACCGTTTGACACCTCGCGGCTCCTCTCGTCCAGGGCTAGGGGGGGGGGTAAGGGGCGCGGGGGAACTTCTCCACGAAGGGAAAAGGAGAGTTCGCAGAGGACACGCCTTAAACTGCCTACGCCCAGAGGGCTGGTGGGCTTTAGATGGTTGTATTCGTTTGGCTTCTGGCAGTCCTCTTGGGCGTCCTCTTGGAGGGATTCTTTTGGCCTGATGGGCTGCGTTGTTGCTGTCTTGGGCCAGTCGTAGTTCGCGCGCGCGCCGAGGGGGGCCGGCCCGTGAAAACAACCGACAGTGTAGCATAAGCAGACAGCAGGACAGCACTATTACGCTCCAGTGTGCAGCTGGCACGGTGGCGGATGCCGCGCCGTCCTCATCAGGAGCGACGGCTCCGCCGTTGCGCGCGGCAGTAGTGAAGATTGTCAATGCGACCTTCCCGCGCTGAATGCGGGCCTGACCTACTCGCAAGCTTTCGCTGGTTTCTTCCACGCCGTGCTGCTCAGGAGCGACGGCATTGCCGCGACATGTGGCCCGAATGACATCGGCCAGTGCGATCTCCCAGCGTTGATCGGCGGCCTGACTTATACGCAGGTTGCCATAGGGATGTGCCACGCTGTCCTGCTCAGGAGCGACGGCGCAGCTGTGTCCTGTGGCAAGAATAGTTTCGGTCAGTGCGACTGCTCTGCGTTGGTCGAGGGCTTCGTTTATACATTGGCCTTCGGCTCATCTCGCCATTATTGTCGACGAGTGGGTGAGTGGTATCTTTGCACGAGGTTTCCTCGGCGGCTTTCCCCATTCCCAGTTCCCTGGAGCTTCCCAGGCCCGTCTGGGCTTGCAGGAGGCGCGTGTTCGGCCTCAAGGGGCGGCCTGGGGCATCTGGGGGGCGCGACGGTTCAGTACAAAGACGTATCCGGAACTTTTGAAACGTAGCTTTCTAAGGGCCTTTGTTGCCCAGAAGCTGGCCCATGGGAAGACGGGCGCCGGTCCAACTCGGCCAGGCGGAACTCGGCTAGGTCGAACTCGGCCAGCCGAGTTCGAACTGGCCGAGTTTCGCCGGCCGGGTTCGGCCGGCCGAGTCTGGCCGGCCGAGTCTCGCTTGGCCGAGTCCGGCCTGGCCGAGCTCGGCCCGGCCGGATCCGACCGGTCCGAGTTAGACCGGCCGGGTCGCGCCTGGCCGAGTCGGCCCGGCGCTTTGGCTGCAGCGCCAGCCCGGCCGAGTTCGAACCGGCCGAGTCCAAACCCGGCCGAGTCCGACCGATCCGAGTTCGGCCGGCCGAGTTTATCCGCCGGCCGAGTCGCATCTGGCCGAGTTGCGCCCCGGCCGAGTCCGACTGGCCAGCCGAGTCGGACCGGCCGAGTCGGGCCTCGGCCGAGTTTCGTCCGGCCGAGTTCGCCCGGCCGAGTCCAGACCGGCCGAGTCCGACCACCTTAGATGAGGAGTTCCCGGAACACATAGTTGCGAGGATGTCTGAAGCAAACGGGCCGTGAATACCACTCTTCATCCTCATCCTCCTCATCCTTCTCTTCGGCCTCCTCCTCGTGTCCTCCTCCTCCATCGGCCGAGCCGAGCCGGCAGGCGGGCCGGCCGAGCAGGGGGGCCGAGCGGGGCGACGACGGCGACGACGACGACGACGACAATGGTGGCGACGATGACGAAGACGATCCCCGCTCATACTCCCTACTCATACACATACTCCTACCCCCTACTCATACTCCATACTCCCTACTCCTACTCCTTCCTCATCTTACTCCTACACTCTAATACTCCTCACCCTACTCCCACTGCTATCCCTGTTCCCCCGCATCCTGCTCATAGCAGTTGTGCCCGCTCTGCTTCTTTCGCAGGTTCGCCGAACCCGTCAGAGTTGCGCGGATGGTTCAGGCGGCAGTGGCCTGACCGCCCCAGCAGAGGGCATCTCGGAACCCAGAGTTGCGAGGATGTCTCAAGCGAACTTGCCCTCACCACAAATCGGCAGGGCATCTCCGAGAGCAGAGTTGTGAGGATATCTATGGCGAAAGTGGTCTGGTCACTTCTGCTCAAACCCTGGGCCAGGGCATCCCGCATCTTGGAACCTGGAGTGGCGGGGCACGGCACCTACAGCACCTAGAGCACCTACAGCAACTAAAGCACCTACAGCACCCACGCTAGCCACAGCACCTGCAGCACCTACGACACCCACGGCACACACGGTACCTACAGCACCTGCAGCACGTACAGCACCCACGGCACCTACAACACCTACAGCACCTGCAGCACCCACGGCACGTACATCACCTGCAACACAGCATGTACAATACCCACGGCACCAACAACATCACAGCATCTACAGCACTTACAGCACAAACGAAACCTATATCACCGACATCATCTGCAGAACCCAGGGCAGCCACAACACCTGAAGCACCTACGGCATCCACGGCACCTACAGCACCTACAGCACCCACAGCACCCACGGCACCCACAGCACCTACATCACCTACAGCACCGACAGCACCCACAATACCTCCCTATAGAGCACATACAGCACCTACAACCACCTACGGCACCCACAGCACCGACGGCACCCACAGCACCTACAGCACCTACAGCACCCACGGCACCCACAGCACCTACAGCACATACAGCACCCACAGCAACCACGGCACCTGCATACAGGACCCAACGCACCTATAGCACCCATGACACCTACAGCACTTACGGCTCTTACGGCACTTACATCACCTACAGCACCTGCAACTCCCACGGCACCTACAGCACATACAGCATGGCCTACAGCACCTACTGCACCCACGGCACCCACAGCGCCTACAGCAGCCACGGCACCTACTGCTCCCACACCTACATCACCTACGACACCTACAGCACCTGAAGCACCTACATCACCCACGGCACCCACAGCCAACGACACCCACGACACCGACAGAACCTACAACACCTACATCACCCACAGCACCCACGGCACCCACGGCACCCACAGCACACTCAGCACATACAGCACCTACCTGCAGCACCCCCTACAGCACGTACATCACCTACAGCACCCACGGCACCCACATCACCTACAGCACCCACAGCACCCACGGTACCTACATCACCTACAACACATACAGCACCCACAGCATCCACAGCACCCGTATCACGTACAGCACCGTCAGCACCTACAGCACCCACGGCACCTACCGCACCCACAACACCCACAACGCCTACATAACCTACAGCACCCACAACACCCACAGCACGTACAGCACCTACAGCACCCACAGCAACCACATTCCACCTACAGCACCCACAGCACCAGTAGCACCTACAGCACATACAGCAACCACGGCACCCACAACATCTCCAGTACTTACAAGACTCCTACAGCACTCACGGCCCCTACATCACATACAGCAGCTACAACACCCACGGCACCAACAACCCCTAGAGCACGTTCAGCACCTACCGCACTTACAGCACATACAGCAATTGCAGCACCCACATCAACTACAGCGCTTGCAGCACCCACAGCAACTGCAGCACCTAGAGCACACACTGCACCAACAGCACCTACAACACTTACAACACCTACGGCACATACAGCACCCACGGCACCCACAGCACCTACCGCACCTACAGCACCCGCGGCGCCTGATGCATTTTCAGTAACCACAGCACTTGCAGCACCCATTGCACCCACATCACCTAACTCACCTGCAGCACCTACAGTAGCTTCCGCACCCACGGGACCTACAGCCAAGCACCTACAGCAAATACAACACCCACAGCACCTGCATCACCCACCTACAACACCTACCGCGCCTACAGCATCCAGGGCGCCCACAGGCCCTGCAACACCCACAGCACCCACAGCACCCGTATCACCTAAAGCACCGACAGCACCCACAGAACCCACAGCACACACAGCACCCAGTGCTCTTACAGCAACCACAGCGTCGACAGCACCCACAGCACCTACAGCACCTACAGAACTTCCAACACCTCCAGCATCTCCAGCACCTCCAGCACTTACAGCACCCACAGCACCCACAGCACCCATAGCACCTACATCACCTATAGCACCCAAAGCACCTGCAGAACCTACACAACTACATCACCCACATTACATACAGCACCTAAAGCGCCTACAGCACCCACGGCACCTACAGTATCTGCAGCACCAACAACACCCATAGCACCCGCAGCACTTACAGCACCTACAGCACCCACAGCCCTTACAGCACGCGCATTACCTACATCACGTACACCACTTACAGCACCAGTAGCACCCGCAACACCTACAGCACTCACAGCACCTACAGCACCCACAACACCTACAGCACCCACAGCACCTACAGCACTTGCAGCACCTACAGCACCCACAGCACCTACAGCGTCTACAGCACCCACAGCACCCTGGCCGAGTTCAGCGTGGCCGAGTTCGACCGGCCGAGTTCGGCCGGGCCGAGTCGGACCTCTTCCGAACAGGCATGGGAGAGTAGATGAGGAGGAGGAGGAGGAGGAGGAGGAGGAGGAGGAGGAGGAGGAGCAGGAGGAGGAATAATAAGAGGAGGAAGGGGGAGGAGGAGGACCAGATGAAGAGGGCGAGGGAGAGAAATATCCATGATTGTCGAGGGCTCACAATAACAGAGTGTTGGGGGGATATGCAAGCCTTGAAAGTCGCGGCTCGGGCCATGACAGCGGATAGGGACGATGCATCAACAATTGTTCATGGAGTCGAGCCGTCTATCGATGGCATGCCGTCCAGCCTCCACTACGTGCTCACGCTATGTGGCGGCGCTGGCGACTCTTGCGAGTCGGGTGAGCTTACGTCCGAACAAGTTGAGAGGGCGCCTGCCCAAGCAGTGGCCGACGCGATGATAGCGCGAGGTTTCTGGGGACCGGCGCCTGTCTGCGAGAAGTGGGGGGCGGTGACAGGCGCGGTAGCCGATGAGAATCGCATTCGGTGGCAATGCGGGGGCGTTGCTGCCAATGCGGGCGTGGATGGTGCACAGACGGAGAGGTGCAAGTCGGGTCGCCCATCGGTGTTGTTGGGTAGCCCTTGGTATGACCCTTCGGGCCGAGGTGCCGCAGCACGGATAGTGGCTGTCATTGTTTTGGCTTCGCTGGAGGGGCTGGACATAGGAGCCATCGCACGGAGGGCTGGCGTGGGTGAGCAAGTGGTCACACGGGTGCAGGCTTGCATGCCCGCGGCGACGAGCGTGGCTCCTGCTTCCTCCAGCGCCGATGTAAAGAGAAGGAGGACGGACATCGGAGACGACGAGGGCGTGAGTGCTAAACATTGGCACCGACCAGTGGCTTGGAAGAGACTGGGCGAGGAGCTGGTTCGGTTATGGGACGTCGATTGTCAGGCGGCCGTGACAATGGCTGCACGAGGTTACGTTGTCGTTCGCACGGGCTTGAGCATGGCGAAGGAAGGCGGCCACGACTTCGATGTCGACGCCCTGTCGGCCGGCACCTGGGCGTCGCAAGAGTCGCTGCGGAAGTTCATGGCGGCGACGAACGACCAGAAGCAGTATCGTTGCTCCACGCACGAGGTGGGCTTGCCTGTGTCCTTCCTGACGGCGCGTCAGATGCTGAACCTCCACGAGGTCTTCAGCGCGCATGATCCTGTCCAGATTCGCGTGCGGGGGTGCATCGCGCAGTGCCGTGGGTTGGTGACGGACGATAGGAGCAGCGTGCAATGCCGGCGCTCCGTCCTGCGGGCCGTGATTATCATCCACGCTACACGCCGCTGCGTTTACGCACCGTGTGTGGTGGGAAAGAGCTTGGCGACAGCGCAGGAGGTTTTGGATTGTTTCGTCGGGTCGAGCCGAGTAGAATTGGAAATGAGGCGGCGGCCGACGAGCGAAGGTTTTTTTTTTTTTTTTTTTTTTTTTTTTTTTTTTTTTTTTTTTTTTTTTTTTTTTTTTTTTTTTTTTTTTTTTTTTTTTTTTTTTTTTTTTTTTCCGGCTGCTCGAGGTCCGTCGTGCTGGGCGCGTTGAATAGGAGCAACGTGTTGGACACATTCGACGGCGGGGACTACTTTCAGGATTTCGAAGGGATGGTCGCTTTCGTGCAGCGCTCTGCGGTGGGGGCGAGCTCCGGTCGCGTGGACGCGCCGGTGCTGGACTATTGCTGGGACAGGGTGAAGAACTGGTGTGGCTTCGGCGGCGCGGGCAACGAGCCCGGAGGCAACGTGGACGGCTTCGTTGCCAAAAACGTTGCGTTTCAAGGTGTCCGGAATATTCTTCGCCATTGCGGATTTGAGCATGGGGCCCCGGAGGCGTTCGTGTCGGGGCCCAATCCATGCAAGTTGGCGCGCGTGCACTGGCAGGCGCCGTCCCCGTCGCGGGAACAGCAGGTCGCCATGTATTCTGCCGTGCTGGAAGGCGTCGATGACTGCGTCGTCACGTATGGCGCGGTCTCGCGGAGGCTTCATTCGGCCGACGCAGTTGTGCTGCGAGACAATCTGTGCAAGGCCGTGGAAGTGTTGCAGACAGTCACTACCGGTCGTTTCTTCGGGAAAGCCCGTAAGTCGTCTTTGGCGCGGTTTGGCGTCGCCGTGGCGCCCGAGCGGGCTCTGTCCTCGCCGGAGTGCTCTGGCGACGACGAGCCCGGTTGAGATGCGTTGCGCCATCCCGCAATATGTCAGACATTGGACATGTCGCGCGGCGGGTGGCGCGCCTGCGCGCCCGGGGGATCCAAGATCAAAAACCGTTCTTCCTCAGGGGTGATCCTGGCGGCGAAGTGGGAGAGGCGGCGCCTCGCGGCCCGATGGTCCTTCGGGGCGAGGGGCCCAACTTGGTAGCGTCGGAACTCCTACGCGTAAAAATACGTGCGCGGAGGGGGGGGGGCGAGGGACCCAACGCGGTAGCGTCGGATCTCACGCGTAAAATACGCGTGCGGAGGGGGGGGGGGGCGGGGGGGGCGAGGGGCCCAACTTGGTAGCGTCGGAACTCTTACACGACAAAGTACGCGTGCGGAGGGGGGGCGAGGGGCCCAACTTGGCAGCGTCGGAACTCGTGCGCGTAAAAATACGTTTGCGGATGGGGGCGAGGGGCCCAACTTGGTGGCGCTGGAACTCCCACATGGAAAAATACGTGGGCGGAAGGGGGGGGGGGCGAGGGGCCCAACTTGGCAGCGTCGGAACTCTTGCGCGTAAAAATATGCGTGCGGAGGGGGGGGGGGCTCAACTTGGTGCGTCGGAACTCTTACACGTAAAATACGTGTGCGGAGGGGGGCGAGGGGCCCAACTTGGTAGCGTCGGAACTCTTTCACGTAAAAATACGTGTGCGGTGGGGGGGCGAGGGGCCCAACTTTGTAGCGTCGGAGCTCATCAGTAAAATGCGTGTGCGGAGGGGGGCGAGGGGCCCACTTGGTAGCGTCGGAAGTTTACACGTGAAAATACGTGGGGGGGGGGGGGGGCTGCAACGTGAGTCTCGGTTGCCGCTCGCCCCTCGGTCCTGGCGCGTAGCGGGGCGCCCCTCTGCCCGCGCGGGGATGATCCTCCTTCCTTTTTTTTTTTTTTTTTTGGGGGGGGGGGGGGGGGGGCGGCGGGGGAGGGGGGGGGGGGGGGGTGCAGCAGGGGGAAGGGGGGGGAGAGAGGAGGGGATGAGGGAGGGGCATGGAGGGGAGGTGGAGGAGGAGGAGGATGAGGAGGGGGGAGAGGAGGAGGGCGACATGGGGAGGAGGAGAGAGGGGAGAGAGGAGGGGGGGAGGAGGAGAGGAGGAAGAGGAGGGGAGGAGGAGGAGGAAGAGGAGGAGGAAGAGGAGGAGGAAGAGGAGGAGGAATCGGAGGGGGAGGAGGAGGAGGAGGAGGAGGAGGAGGAGGGCAGGAGGAGGAGGAGGAGGAGCAGGGGCAAGAGGAACAATAGGCGCAGGAGGAGCAGGGGGGAGCAGGGGGAAGAGCAGCAGGAGGATAAGCAGGACGCGCAGGCGGTAGCGGCTGCACATAAGCAAATGGAAAGTGCTGCACGCGTGTCAGACGAAAGTTTGACTCCAGTTCCTTGCCGAGTTCGTGGATCCCTCAAGTTTCTTGTGGGGGCGTGGCGGGGGGGAGTGTGGCACCTTGCACGGTGCTCGCACCTAGGGCCCCTGAGTTTCGTTGAAGCCTCGGGAGTGTTCGGGGGCAGGGTGCAGTGCCTTCATGCCGCGCGCAGTGAGTTGGCCAATACTTGGGTCCATCGTCGGCCAGGTGGAATCATCTTTGAGGCTTGTTGTAACTTGCAGGCTCGCGGGTGGGGTTCAAGATCTTCGGGCCCGCAGATCCGCTTATGAAATGCATTCTTTCCTGTCGGGTCCATGCGCGTGGATCCTTGCATCTTGCTCTTTGCTCGCGCTTCCGCCTGTCGAGCTTGCAAGGGCAGTGTGGATTGGCTCAGGCTTTTCGGTGCCTGGCGGACGGTCACTGGAGCCATCTTCGGCCAGCTGGAATCATATCTCGGGGTTTCTTGAAACATTCAGGAACACGGGTCGGGTAAACAATTTCTGGGCCCGCAGATTCGCTGTTGAAATGCATCCTTTCATGTGGGGCCATGCGCGCGGGTTGGTTCATCTTCCGCGATGCATGCACCGACGGCCCTTGAGTTAGCGTGGCGCCTCGGGGGTGCGCGGGCAAAGGGTGGGGTGGTTTCAGGCCCCTTGAAGCAAGTTGGGAGCTAATTGAAGTCATCTTCGGCCATCTGGAACCATGTGGGAGGCAATCCTCGATCTTGCGTGCCGGTTTAACAATCTCTGGGCCCGCAGATTCGCTTATGAAAGGTATATTTTCATGTGGGGCCATTGGCGTGGGTTGTTGCATCCTGCACGCTGCGCGCCCTCGGGGCCTGTGAGTTGCGTTGAAACCTTGGGGGCGTTCAGGGGCAGCGTGGAATGGCTTCAGGCCCGTCGGAGCAAGTTGCACGCTAATTGGAACTAATGATTTCCCGATTCGCAGGCTTGGTGATGACATGTATATTTTGGTGTGGGGGCCGTGCGCGCGGGTTCTTTCATCTTGCGCGTTCCTCGCGCCCAGAGCCTCTCAGTTGCCTTCGACCTTCGGGGGCGTTCGGGGGTGTTGTTCATTCGGCCAGCCGGAACCATCTTGGCGGCAATTTTTGAGCATCCAGGGTGACGGGCGGATTTAACAAGGAGAAGATGAGGGGGCTCGGGGGCGGCCAGGGCAGGGGATGGATAGAGGAAGCGGCGGAGGATAGGAGCAGAAGTATCAGTGGAAGGAGGAGCAGGAGGAAGAGGAGGGGGCGGACAAGGAAGAGGAGGGAGAGAGGTTAGATGTCGCCCAAGGGAGTGGTTGCTATAAGGGCGTCGTTCTGGTTTTATTTTGGGGCGGTATTTCCAGGGAAGCCATGGCGACGTATGCGGGATAAGGACGTTGCAGATTCGATTATTCATATATGCCACCTCGTTTCCAACTTTTGCTAAGTGTGCTGCGCAGGCGGCGGGGTTGCCGACGGCGCTGTTTGTGCCCGGTGGTGCAGGTCTTGCTCGGCAGCGCTCAGGCCGTTGGGCGTCGTCCTGCTGCTGGTGCTGCTGTTGCTGCTGGTGCTGATGCTTGTGGTGGTGTTGCTGGTTCTCGTGCTGCGGGTGCTGCCGCTGGTGCTGCTATTGCTGCTGCTGGTGCTGCTGCTGCTGATGTTGCTGGTTCTCGTGCTGCCGGTGTTGCTGCTGGTGGTTTTGGTGGTAGTGGTGGTGCTGCTGCTGCTGTTGCTGCTGCTGTTGCTGGTGTCGCTGGTTCTCTTGGTACTGGTGCTGCTGATGCTGCTGCTGGTGCTGCTGCTGGTGCTGCTGCTGTTGGTGATGCTGCTGCTGGGCTGGTGCTGCTGGTGCTGCTGCTGCTACTGTTGCTGCTGCTGGTGCCGCTGGTGGTGCTATTCCTGCTGGTGGTGCTCTTGCTGGTGCTGGTGCTGCTGCTGGTGCCGCTGATGCTGATGCTGGTGCTGGTTGAGGTAGTGCTGCTGCTAATGCTGCTGGCGGTGCTGCTGCTGATGGTGGTTGGCGGTGGTGCTGTTGGTGCTGCCGTTGCTGCTAGTGCTGTTAGTGCTGTTGCTGCTGGTTGTGGTGCTGCTGGTGGTGCAAACGGTGATGGTGGAAGCATGCAGTGTGACAGCCGCCTCGGAAGCGTGTTATCGGAAGATTTTCGGACCCTGCGGGCACCCCGACCCAACGCTAGGAGTAGCACATTGTGGCTCGAAGATCGGCTGCGCAATCACTGGAGAGGACATTTCTTGCCTGTTTGCCTGCGTTGTCGCCCGCCATGGCTGCCGCGGTTCCGAGCGTGTTCGACGGCGTCGCCCGCGCCGACCTGGGCGCTTTCATTTCGGAGTTGGAGTCGAAGTTCGGCGAGCCGGCGGCGTCATTCTTGCAAAAGGTGGCGGCGCCTGCGCTGGCACAGGCAAAGGTGGATCTCGAAGAGGCGAAGCTTGAGGACGGCGCATAGGTCACAGACAACTTGTTGTTATTGCCGGCGGCCGTGTCTGCTGAGTCTGACGCCAGTGGCGCGAACCATCGGGGCGATGCGCCCGCGCAGTCTGCTCGCGGCAGCGCGGGAGAGGATGCCGCCAACACCCGCGCCCTGGTGCCTGAGAATTCCACGCCTCTGATTGTGGGCCGCCTCATTCTTCGTCCGCGGGCCCCTCCAGTGGTAGATCGGGCGGCCTGCCGCAAGTGGATCGAGAACACCCCCCCGGCCGCTCCGGGCCGGACTTCGGAAAGCTGCCCCGAAGCCGCGTGGAGCAGAGGTGCAGCTCACCTTCGCGGGCGCGACGGGGACAGCGTTCGACGAGGCCATCAAGCCTGCGTTGCAAGAGTTCGGTATGGCGGAGCGTCAGCCAGGAGGAGTCGAACATCATTGTCGAGAATGACCAACCGCTCAAGCGGTCTCGCCAAACAGCGGCCGCCGCGGTCGGAGATGTGCACGGGCACGAAGGGGTTGTTGAACAAGGCGATGAATCTCGCAGGCTCAGGTGGGAAAGCGAGGAAGAAGCGTCGCATGGCCCAGCACGTGGTAAAGAGCTTCGAGCTGGCCCAGCGCGTCGCCCTGGCTAACCTTCGCGAAGCGAAGGTTGAGCCCGACACGGATGACGAGGAGGAGTGATTCACGCGGCGTCGCAGACGGCGCGCGCCGAGAGCGGCGGGGAGGCAGCGGCGCGACAGAGGGAACTCCATGGCCGGAGACCTCCGAACGTCTCGGAGACGGTTTGCCGCGCCGATAGGCAGCCGAGAAGAGAGCCCTCGCTGTCTGCTCACGCGAGTCGGCGACTTTTCTAGAGAGGCCCTGGCGCGGAAAGCGGCGAACCATTGTTGCTTGGAGACTCTTCGTAACGCAGCCGCTGACGCGACAATGGATGAGCTTCTTTGTGTTGAGCTCACCCGGGCCTCCGTGTACATAGGCAGTATATCGCTCAGCAATTTGCCGCGTCCTGGCATTTTTTCGTTGAGCCCTGGCGCCTGGGCTGCTGAAAGATCGCTGTGGGTAATATGTCGGCAGCGACGGCAGCGAGTGCGACAAAGGGCGAGCAACTGCGCTCCCGAGGGCTCCCTAGCAAAAGACGTCGCCCCGTGTCTTCCTTCACGCCCCGCTGTAAGAATCCGCTGTATCTTCGGGCCCTCTCGGGGCTTCTTGGG